GAGAGAGAGAAGAAAGAGAGAGAGAGAGAGAAACAGAGAGAGAGAGAAGAGAGAGAGAGAAACAGAGAGAGAGAGAGAAACAGAGAGAGAAGAGAGAGAGAAGAAAGAGAGAGAGAGAGAGAAACAGAGAGAGAAGAGAGAGAGAGAAACAGAGAGAGAGAGAGAAACAGAGAGAGAGAGAAGAAAGAGAGAAGAGAGAGAGAGAGAAACAGAGAGAGAGAGAAACACAGAGAGAGAAGAGAGAGAGAGAGAAACAGAGAGAGAGAGAAACAGAGAGAGAGAGAGAAACAGAGAGGAGAGAGAGAAACAGAAAGAGAGAAATGGAGAGAAACAGAGAAAGAAACGGAGAGAAAGGGTAACAGAGAAAGACAGAGAGCGAAGGAGAGAGAAACAGAGAAAGAAAGAGAGAGAAACAGAGAGAGAGAGAAAGAGAAACAAAGAGAGAGAGAAAGAGAAACAAAGAGAGAGAGAAAGACAGACAGGGAGACAGAGGGAGAGAGAGACAGAGACGGATAGGTGGGGGGGGGGGGGAGGGGGGGGGGGGGGGGAGGGGGGGGGTTGGTGTGGAGAGAAAGACAGGGAGAGGCAGAGATGGGGAGAGACAGAGGTACAGAGAGAGAGAGACACACACATGAAGACAGAGAGAGAGAAAGAAACAGACAGAGAGAGAGAGAAAGAAACAGACAGAGATGAAAGAGAGCGAGGGACAGCGAGAGAGAGAGGCACACAGACGGAGGTAGGCAGAAAGACACAGACAGAGCGGGACGTACACTTTCGGAGGGAAGGGATCAGACAGAAGTAGGGAGGTTGGTCCCGCTGGTGGGAGAGACTAGAACGAGGGGGCATAGCCTCAGAGTAAGAAGCGGGGGGAGAGGGAGCAGGTTTCGGATTGAATCGAGCGGGATATTCTTCAACTAAAGGGGATCGCAGATCCGTGGAATTCCCCAGGCCAGCGAAGCAGCTTCCTCGTCGGATATTTTTAAGGCAAAGGTAGGTGTTTGAACAGTGAGGGGATTAAGGGAGCTGTGGAGCTGAGTACAGGGCCGGAGTGGCAGGGCCTGCTCGATGGGCCGAATAGCCTACTCCTGCTCCCACCTCTCGTGAGAGAGAGAGAGAGAGACACTTGGAGAGACAGGATGAGGGAGACAGACAGAGGAAGAGACGCAGAGCGAGACAGGCAGCGAAGAAGTGAGGGATAGCAAAAGAGAGAGGCCGAGGGAGGGTAAAGAAGGAGAGACAGAAAAACGCATGGAGAACGAGAAAGAAGGAGAGAGAGAGAGAGAGAGACATGGAGGGGGGGGGTTCAGAGCGAAT